ACATATGCATCATCGTCATTTTTCACATTATACACATACTTGAATATCATGTTGATAATAACAAGTCATCATAATCTTTCTCATTAACATCACCTTTCATATCATGCATATATTTAAATATCATGCACATCAATGTAATCAAGTTATCATCATATGCATATAAACATATCATGCATATATCATGGATAAAATACTTTTATAATAATCATGTATATATCCCATAAAAATTGCATAATGTACTCACCTTGAATCGTTAACGTTTGATAGGTCGTTCTCTCAAAAACGGCAACCTACAWGATAATTTATACCATTCCTAAGCATCTTAAATAATCGTAATTAAATTGATTACTATTCCTTAACAATCTTAACACGACTTTTCCTTTTATTGATCAACCCCCGATAACATCATATCTCATGTTTCACTCCAATATTTTCTTGAAATATTAATAATAATGTGAYGTCATTAAATATTAATTGTTGCTCGTTCATTTTATAAAATAAGCAATATACTTCACATTTTATTGAATAATAAATATTCTATCAAAATAACTAAACTAAATAGTTCGCAACATGAATAATGTTTTGTGACCAAAACGTCTCGTTTAAGATTTGCAAGTAAATAAAGGTGACAACATGTCACACACGTATAAATAACGGTCGTTCCATAACTTTAAAGTTCAACATAAYTAATACTCGAAATAATGTTTAGAATACCAATTTTCCAAGTCTAGGAGCATTTTGGTAAATCATAAAAAGCCGAATACCAAAGGTATAGCTTTAACCAATTCCCTAATTTAGAACATTCTTGGTATATTTCAGAAGTCGAATATTAAAACGGTGTTTAAAAGTCCAATCCCAAGCATAGGGGCATTTTGGTAATTCTATTAAGCAATACTCAAAGTATTGTTAAAATACCGATTCCCTAATTGTGAGGTGGTTTTGGTAATTTCATAAGGGTAACAATCAAAATAAAGCATAGATACCAATTTCCAAGATATAGGGTCATTCCGGTAATTTTATAAAGCAAATACGTAAAGTATCGCTAAAATACCAATTTCCACATCGTAGGGTCATTTTGGTAATTTTATAGAGATTAGATTTAAAATAACACTTAGATACCAATTCCTAATACATTGGGTCATTTCGGTAATTTTATAAAGCAAATACATAAAGTAATGCTAAATTACCGATTTCCAAATATATGGTCGTTTTGGTAATTTTATAAAAATAATAATATAAAAATGAAGTTTATAAACCAATCCCCAAGACATAGGGTCATTTCGGTAATTTATGAAGCAAATACGTAAAGTATCGTTTAAATACCGATTTCCACATTGTAGGGTCATTTTGATAACTAAACGGGATAAATAATCGAAACTAGATCAAAGTTTGCGTTTCACAAACTCCAAATAAATTTAATGAAAGCCTTATAAAGTTATTATGGGAAAATTAGCTTTATAAAATAACTTTATGAAACTTTAGGGAGTAAATCGCAAATTTCTGAAACTTAAATATTCAGTGCATATTAATAATAAAAATGCGTTATATATAACAAAATCAAACTTAGCGTACTGGTTAACACTTGCAACTTCAAGTTGAGGTTACGGGTTCGATTCCCGCCTTCAACAACTTTATCACTATATTTTTAAATAAGGGTAACGGACGCGGGTCTTGGGTCAGGCCGACCCGGTTCGTGGCCCAGCAATAAGAACGGCCCAAGACGAAAACTGCAGGTCTGCAGCCATGGCTGCTCGTTTTTGAGCTTTTCGAGCATGAAAATGGCTCGTTTCTTGACCCTTTTTCTTCATTCTTTTTGCATCAAACTCTTGGTAATATTTTTACCAACACTTTGACATAAAGAACACAAATTTTCATCAAGAAATGAGTTCCATTTATTCATTTAAAGTTTTGTTTTTATAACTAAACCCAACAACTTAAAAAAAATATAAAATCGAACCATTAAAACCAAATCTGAGATATGAGGCTACTGGGGTTTGATAGAATACTTCAAAACGAAACCATAGACACAAAAACCATGAGATTTAGTTAAGAACCTCACCTAAAATCGGTGGAAAACCGAGATTTTTAACCTGAACTTCGAACTTAGATTTCTCTCTCAATATTCGCTCATTTTCTTTGCTATTTGAACCAAAATGATCTTAAGCCGGTGCTCTACATTTATATGCAAGAGTTTTGGCTTATTAGTTGACGAAATCAGACCAAATCGCGAGTTTTTGGCTGATAGGTCGTTTTCTCCAAACAGACTTATACTGTTGGCAAAACAGGTCCCTCATCTTTGAAAAAGATGACATTTGCTCCCCTGAACTTTCTGACATTTACCACCAATCCCCTGATTTCACTATTTTAATAAGGCTTACACTTTTTACCCCTAAATTAACATTTTATTTCAACTTTGGTCATTTCTAATTTTAAGATTTTGATAATTATTCCTTCAACTAATCACATAAATATTTTAACACTTCAAATAAATTTAATAAATAAAAATTATATATTTAAAGACTCGTATAATATATATATATATATATTTTTTATATATTTAAAATTTTGGGTTTTACACATACTAACATTTAGGAAGGGTATGGGTTTGTCCTTTGTGTGTATAAGGACAAGACAACAACTGTCGTGCTTCACAAGCTTCATTTGATCGCTGAATGCTGGAATAACCTGAAGGTCTCTTCAACATTTGCTGAGGCTTGGGCAGTATTCACACATATGTAGACAGGCTTGTAATCACTGAGTACCGCTTCAGATCTCGTGCTTGCCAATCTCTAATCTTCAGTTTTAGTCTTTGACATTTGCTAAAGGTTCTTTGGTGTGAGTGTTGTCTTCTTGAAGTATCGCTGTCGCTGATTGAATTTTACAATACAAGTTCTTGAGCGATCACTGAATAGACTCAATGAAGATCGCTGGAACTGAAAAGACAGAAACGAAAATACTTCGAATAGAATAAAAGGGATTATCATCAAATCACTGAGAGAGAGGATCAACACTATAAAACGTTATCTAAAATGTCATGTCAAGCTATCTTCGGTTATAGATGTTCAAATGGGCTTTGAAAGCAATCAGAGGGTTGTGAATTTGAAGAGATCTAACCAAGAGCTTGAAGACATTGAAGGCTATCCGTTCCTAATACTTGAAGATCCAGATTTTGGTGTGGTCTATGAAAGTGCAGAAAGGACTAAAAGATTTTGAGGTTCAGTGAACTGAATAAATACTCTGATGGTACTATCAAGATTGTGAGAAGAGGGCTTGAAGGTAAAAAGGCTTTCAATGTCGAAGCAACAAGACGTGACAGGTTAAGTCCAAGAGAAAGGTACTTGCTGATAAGTTCTCTCAAGCTACTTGATAAAAAATTGCAATATCGGAATGCGCTGAGGAGGTATGAGACAAACTTGGGCTTTAGAAGATCTAAATTTACGATGTCTCGTGCTTGAATCCAAAGGGGGAGAATCTTGGATTTAAACCGTGCTTAATTGTTGTAAAATGTTTCTCCATTTGTAAATTTTCTCTTTAATGCTTTGTAGATATAAATAGTCTTTCCTTGTAATTTGTAGTTAGTTGAAATCATTTTGTAATCTTCTAAGAATTTGAATACATATACTTTTGGTGAAATTCTCTCTAATATTCATATTCTGTTCTTGATTGTTATTAATTTGATTGAACATTTGGGATTCACAAATATCAATATTTATTTTTTTAATTTTTTATGATATCTACATATTTATATTTTATTCAAAAATAAAAGCATTATCGCTTTTCTCAAAACCACATAAACTGTATTATAACATCAACTGAATAAAATAATAATAAAACAAAACATTAAAATCGAGATGTATCTCACTATATTATGCAATTATTCTTATAGTATTTTAAAATATCACTAGAACAGTATTCGTGCAATGCAGCGAGACACATCTCGATTTTAATGGTCTATTTTATTATTTGTCTCTGTCGATGTTATAATAGATTTTATGTATTTTTAAGAAAACAATAATGATTTTATTTTTGAATAAATATAAATTTGAAAATATCATAAAAATTTGGAAAAAAATATATCAATGTTAATATCAAAATCAACTATTTAAAAGTTCTCATTTTTTATGTAATTTCTTTAATTTTTTTTATAAAGATAATAATTAAGTATTCTGTTAGAACTCAATAATTATTCTAATTATATTTTAGATTTTTATATTTAAAATGAGATGTTTATCATGTATTTGATTATGTTTATCTGCAGTTAGTTACACGAATTCAAATATGGAGTTTTAATAAATTGTACTTACGTACAATCTACTTGCAATCTTGAGTTTTAAGTAATATGCATTAATACACAATACTTTACGCATAAAAAGTGGTTTTTAATTTTTTTTGTCAAATATTTTATAATATAATATAGATAAAATATCATAATATCCTTCATTTAACTGATCTTAAGGAAAAAAAAAGATAACAATCCTTGGAATAAAAGATGAAAATCATTGCAAGGTGTTATACATTATTAACAAATCTATTAAAATAAAGTCTATTGACGAAAAATGTCGAAATTAAACGTTATGGAACAAAAGTGAACTTTGACCTGTGACGGGGAGCAGAAGAAAGCTTGGAGCTTGCGGTCATGGTGGCGTTGGCGGTTTCATCTCCTGCTCGTATATATTAAATCCGGTCTTTCCCGTCGTCTCTTCCTCTCCGATTTTTCTGTCTTCTCTCTCTGCATTTTCCCAAAATTTACAAACACAGATTCAGATCTGATCTTCGAGAAAGATTTTTGAAGAAAATGGCGGTGGTGTCACCTCTTGCCAAATACAAATTGGTATTTTTGGGAGATCAATCCGTCGGAAAAACCAGCATTATTACGAGATTCATGTATGACAAATTCGATACCACATATCAGGTTAATTTTGCGGGCTTCTCTTTATGATTTTGATCATTGTTGTAGTAATCTGATTTGAAAATAGGGGATATTGATATTGAACAAGGCTATTTGTGTGCGATTCTTCATTCTGATTGACATTAGAATGCCGGAATTATAGTGCGGATTCGATTGTTTTCTTTAGTGTATTGAATCGTATCCCCTTAATTATTTTGATCAAGAAGACGCAAACTGACCCTGGATAGAACAGACAGATACCCGCAGGCTATATGCCGTTGTTTTCGTTCTCAGTGGTTGTGGCTGTGTACGTTTCTTTATATGTGAAGAGAAATTGGGGTGCTTAAGCATCTTTATTGTTGATGGACAATACGCTGGAAATCTTGTCGGTCTTGTGAATCTTGGACAGCTTCATTAATTGAGAAATAACAGAAAGATGTAGAACTGTTGAGGAGAAAGTTGACTTGATTGATATAAATTGCTCAACAGCTCCTCTGAATTCAAACCTTGCATCTTGAGCATGTACCATGAGCAATGGGTGTGGTACGCAGCAGTATCATATAATTATTTAAAGAATGTTGACCTCCTATAGACAACCTATCATAGAATCGAGGATAAAGTGAGCCCCTTCCAGTTGGAACAACAACTTTCCATTTTAAGATGAAAAGATATCATTGTGCCTTGGTGGTCGTGTTTCTTCTTAGGATCATCAGGCTTTGAGGGTATTTCTTGCTTTTGCCACAGAATAAACATTGAATGCTATTCGTCCTCAAAATTACTTATGCATATAGCAAGCAAAGTGAATTGGAAGTTTCAGTTGTACCATCCTTTAGCTTGCCTTCTTTGGTATATATCATCTTGTCAGAAAAAGACTTGAAAGTGTTCATATATGAATGCAAACAATTTGTAGCATGAAATGCTGAAGGTTAGATATATGCTCAATCCAGTCCTCCACCAAAATACATAATAGTGATGACCATTTTGAGGAAGTGATACACTACCCACTCTTGTATAGTTAGAGGTTCACTAGTTCTTCACTTCCTGAGGGTTAAAAGTTTCCTATAGTTGAGCTGGTAGCATGGTACAACAGAAATTTCGTGTAATAGATCAGTGAAGAGCTCAAAATTCAGTGGAGAACTTCTTTTGCTCAATGACCCTTTGGTAATACACCTCCATGTTGCTGGGCATTTGCAGAATTTTTTGGGCGCACCATGCACCAACAGCAGCTTGGGATGGCCTACCAGGTCCACCAATGTGGATCTTTTTCCTCGAAATTCGTATAAAATTGTTTGCTGGCCATCTTTGTATTGCTCTACATCAGGATCACTGATACATTACAGGAAGTGGAATCAAAGAAAATTTAATGCAAATAAATATAGAAATTAAACAAGGAACAATGCATGACATTATCACTGCTGGTGAATTGTCACTTATAGCCCTTTAAATTTTCTTTTTCTGTGTTCCCATTTCTTCTTTCATCTTGCACAGATAAAAAGTGATCAACAATGAAAGGACTATTATCATCGCTGTTGTTTCTGTAATGTTATATTTAATCATTTCTGTGCTCTGCCTGCTCCCTCTCTAGGTGGTTATGCATTTTGTCCCCTTATCCTTATTCTATGTAATACTTGATTCATAAGCTGTTTTCTTTTAGAGTGATGTTTAAAATCTGGTTGTTCTTGCTTGGCTGTTCTGTTGGATATATTGCAGGCTACCATCGGCATCGATTTCTTGTCCAAAACAATGTACCTTGAAGATAGAACAGTTCGGTTACAGCTTTGGTAGGTTTCTGTATTAGTTATGGCTTGTTTTCTTTTCCGATTGACCCTGAAAAGAAGTAATATATTAACAGCCAATTATGTGCTATATGTGGATTTCATAGATGTTTGAGACATCATCTATAAGTTGCTAGCACATTTAGTAGTATGACAGATAATGTGTTAATCTATTTGTTGGAGTCGGAAAAAATCAAGTGAATCAAAAGGATGAGTAGGTTAGGTTTTATAGCGTTGATCGCAGTGAGGCAATAACAAGTTTAGTTTAGAAGATGCTATAAGCTGTAGGATATGGAGACATTTCCAAGGTTCCGGTATATGTATTTTTTAATGCTTAATATAAAATATTATTTCAGGTGGTTTGTTAACAATGAAAGCAATATTTTACTTCTGACATTTTCTCACATAACATCTCAGGGATACTGCCGGGCAGGAGAGGTTTAGGAGTCTCATTCCGAGCTATATAAGAGATTCATCAGTTGCAGTGATTGTCTATGATGTTGCCAGTAAGTGGCACCTACCTTAGGAAGATACGATCTTATCTTTTCCCTGTTGTAGTTGCCCGTTAATTTGCAAGTGCTTCACCTTTTACTCTGTTTTTCATTGAGGTTCTTCTCTCTCATAAATTGTTTCAAATAATCTAAAAACCAAACCAAACAAACCTAGTGAGTCCCTCAGGGAGTATGGTCTGGGAAGGGTAAGATGTACGCGGACCTTACCTCTACCTTGAGGGGTAGAGAGGCTGTTTTGTGAAGACCGCAACTTGTTTCAAATAATCTGTCCATGATAATAATTTCTAGGCAGAACTCGTATTTTTATCATGGTGGTTTCCTAGTTTTAAGAAATTGGTCATTCTGCTTCTATTTGTAACATTCAAGTACCTATGATTATTGTTAATAGTGTCACCAATCCTGTTAACCAACAACTAATCTAATGGAATGACTACACTGGCATCTATCTGTTATTTTAACCCGCCATTATTACTGAGGTGGAAAATACAAGGTAAAATGGGTAATTTTTAAGATTGAGGGGGGCAAATATATCTCTACGAAGAATGAACTGAAACATTCCCTCTTCATTCTCTTGCATCCACCTCCTCTATCATGCGCGCAACTACTCCTCTATCAGTGGCAGAGAACCTTAGGCCGTCACACTTCTTTTGTTGTTCCTATATGATTCTCAGAAGAGCATCTATACAACCATCTCAACATGTTCAGATCAAATAAATCTCGTCCATGATCCTCACGTCACCGTAGGTGCCAATAGGATTGCCTCCCACTCTTTTCACTCATCTATTTTAGTTACTTCATCAATCCTCAAAAGACGAGATAGCCTCACCCTCACCCTCACCCTCACCCTCAACCTCAATCAGAATTTTCCCCACTTAAAATCACCTAATGTAGCACAACGAGACACCAAAGCCCCTCGACTGCATGCCTTTGGTAATTTGTCATTGCGCTTTTCCCTTTCTGTCTGGAGAGATGACCAAACCTATACAATAGACAATAGAGAAATGAAAATGCCGTGGGAAGAAAAGCAGCCTGATAAAGTTCATCCACAACATGTTATCTACAGTGAAGTACAATTTGAAGCATGGGGAAGGGATGGCCAGGTTTAGTGGAAAGTAGAGAGGAGCTGGTCTTTTGTTGATATATCCATTGTGAGAACAATTTTATTTTACCTCAAGCTAGTTTACCTTGTACCTTCCACTAGACAATGTTCGGAATGAAATGCAAAGTAGATGTCCCCTTACACTTTTTGTTACTGGACTGGGTGTCAGCTATAGCTGTGGAAAGTTACTCGGTGGTTAGAAACATCTACCATATTTGCAAAATCAGAAAACGACTCAGAAATTTGAATTTTGACTAATGCCAATCACATCAACACGAACGTTACTGAAAACCAGAAGCTCTTTTACCAGTGAATTGGGCTTCAAAAGAAATACTTGTAACCTGTTTGGAATTACCCAACCAAGTTCACTTCTCTCAGTTGCAAAATGGGACATTCTTCAGCAAAGTTTATTGGACCATCGTAAACGGCCTCGTAACATTACTTAAAAACTCAGAAGTTCACATTCTGTCTGTTATCGTTGCCATGAGCATGCTGCTATACATGGTGCACTTTGTTCATATAGAATGCAAAAGATATTCATTTGATACTGTTTTAACAAATTTCTAGTTCGTTACTTTCAGATCGACAGTCATTCTTGAACACTGCAAAATGGATAGAAGAAGTGCGTACAGAACGTGGCAGCGATGTCATTATAGTCCTAGTTGGGAATAAAACTGATCTTGTTGATAAAAGGTGAGAATAACAGTTTCATCAGCTCTTACTCCTCTAAGATGCCAATTCTCATGACACATATGATCCTTATTGCCCTACTCCTCTATGTGACACGTTATTAGTTTGCAAGCCTCATTATTCTGGGTTAAACTTGTCTTGGCCAATAATACGGTGGAACAGACTTTCAGGTTATACATTCTCTTAATGTGATTCATGTCCATTCCTTCGAAGAAATTTATCATACAGATCTTCCATTTAGGGTACTCTTCTCTTTGAAGAGTTGGAGGTTTAGTGAGAGAATAGACACTATAAGCAAAATTCCAGTTAGACATTCTACCAGGTTAAAATATCAATTTCTCCAAGATCAAAAATAGAAAATACCAATTAATCACAGGATTTTATATCTCTATGAGAAAATTGTGAGACTTAGACCATCCACATCCCTGCAATCCATTTACACTTTCAATTGTGACACATCAGCTTTTGCAATTAYCWYCYACAYACYTGCAATTCACCTACACTTTCAAAAGTGGTCCCCACTACAACATTTATTAACTATTTTATAAATTATTTATATATACATTCTAATTATTTTTTAATTTAATAACATGTTTTATATGTAATTTTATAGCTTAGATTATATATACCTTAGATTATATGTAACTTTATCAATATTATATGTTTTAATATGTATAATTTTAATTTTAGGTGATGATAAAATTTAATGTTTAAATTAATTTAACTATATTAATTAAACATATTTATTATGATTGTATTTATATTTTATTTAAAAATAATATATATATATATATATATATATATATATTGAATAAGAGTAATTAATTTTATATATTAAAAAAGTTTGTTTGGGTCTATGTGGCATTGCAATAACAATTGCAAAATTTGCAAGTGTCAGATAAAATTATGATGAGGTGGCCATTTGCAATTCATTTTGAAAGGGTTTTGCAAACCCTGTGTGGATGGCCTTAGATTATTTACTTTGCAATTGACTCGACCTCAAATCTATTTCTTTAGAGGTTGTTGAGTTTGATAAAAGTTTTTAGCTTGGAGGTTACTTCTAAGGAAATGTCCGCAGTCCTTGCAAAGCCCTGAATCATGGTGGAGTGAGGTCTCCTATTTTTTTAAGTTGAATGTACTTGGTATCATCAATGGTGAGTAGTTCTACTTGTTTCTATTGAAGTAATATTTCGCCAGGTTGTCAAGACTGGTATATATCCTTTGAGCTAGCTTTGGGAGCGCCAACTCATTTATTATGGTATCAGAATAGACTTTTGCAGGCGATATTAGTTGCATTTTTTTGTTTGGATCTTGGTTTGCATGCTATGTGTGACTTGTGATGGAGGGTAATTATGTATATTTGTCTTACACGTTGTCAAGATTGATATATGTATATATGTGGTTTGGGCACCCTCATCTTTGAGCTAGCTTTTGGGAGTGAGTTATAATTTCTTCCTGATAGAATAATAGCACTGCATGGCCTTCCATTTGTCTTGATGGTGCTTAGTTTTTGGTGATGGCACAGGCAGGTTTCAATCGAAGAAGGAGATGGCAAGGCTCGTGAACTCGGAGTAATGTTCATAGAAACAAGTGCGAAAGCTGGATTCAACATCAAGGTATAGAGTGTTTTAATCATTACTCAAACACAAGACGTTTAACTTGACACATAGTAATCAAATATACCTAAATATCATTAATGAATCAAAATTGGAATTATTGACCACAATTATCGGTATTTGCAACATATAAATACTTAATTTCGGGTTGGAGTCTTTTTAAAAGAGAGAAGCGTGTTGTTTGGACAACTAAAAATGAAAAATGTTGCATTCTCTTTACTTTTTGGGGACGGAGTGCAAATAAAACATTCACCTGATCAAATCTATCATTCAATTACTTGATTTGACATGATAGTTGGTCCTTTCCTATTTCGGATCATTGACATCATCAAAGGGTTATTCAGCTAAATGACCTCCTGAGGAGTGTTTTTTCTAAAACCATGATCTTCTGATAGGTCTGTAGTCATTGTTGTGTATGAAACTAGCATTCTTCTACTTAGGGGCCGTTTACCAAACGCTTACCCGAGTAAAAGCTTACCAAGTAACATTACGTCATTGGATGAATATAGTAAGGACCAAGAATCTTACCCGGTAAGAGCGAGACAAGGATCAAGAGTCTTACCCGGTAAGTGAGAACGACGACTCTTTACCACGGTAAACGCTTATCGGGTAAATTGTTGTATACTATGTCGTTTTAGTGGACTAAAATCTTACCCGGTAAGTACATAATAGTGTTAAATTTTATCAGTAAGCACTTACCGGGTAAGTAAGCACTTACCGGGTAAGTGTTTGATAAACGGCTCCTAAAAAGTGTTATTTTCAAACTTGAAGGTCATGGATGTAAAAAAGCGTGCCAGAATACATTTAACCAAATGACTCATTATGATCAAATTACTTGAGGGTCATTGGCACCCAAGTTACCAATAGATCTTAACCTCTATGGAGGTCAAACCTCACCTGCGATAAAGGAGCGTTTGTGACTTCTATTATATATACATCCAAAAAGTTACGTAAAATGTGATGGAATAGTTGGTGGACTCCATGTATGGCTTGTGTCATTTCTTCCTTGATAACACACATAAAAAAAATTGAAAATTGCAGCCTTTATTTCGCAAGATCGCTGCAGCCTTGCCAGGAATGGACAATCTTTCGTCAACAAAACAGGAAGACATGGTTGATGTGAATTTGAAATCTTCCAGTAATACGTCTCAATCGGATCAACAAGGCGGAGGGTGTGCATGTTAGATCTTCACATAGAGTTTCCATTCGAGGGAATGTAACCATTTTGTTCTAACATTTTGTATCAAAACAACCGTTGTAGTTGGAAAATATCCTGAAAACCCTCTACTTCAGAACAAGAACATTCTTACTCAAAATTTGCCATGTATGATGGTGTCTTTTGAAGTTAAAATCAAACATATTTTTTTTATAACCGTGGTTGTCTGGACCAGTTTGCGTGAAACTACTCCTAGGGCCTTGGAGAACAATCAGGAAAGTTTCTAGTGGCTTTGTCGGACTCGAACCGTTAACCTTTGCTTAAAATCTTATTGTCGGTTGCGTTAACCCTGCAAAGTTTAACATAATGGTCATGTTTTATTTTGGTATAAAATATCAAACACAAGGGTTAGAAAGGTAATTTACTCAAAGAAGATTAGAGATTGGTGTTTGACATAAACCATTCAAGCTCACCTTTTGATTTACAATCGTTGTAGCAAGTAGTTTCACATGAATGGATTATAGAAGCCTTCAGGTTGTCGAAACCATTTTTAAAGAAAAAAAGCATGTGCAAGGATACCTTAGCCCTGAAATAAAAAACAAAAGTATCAGTTGTCTAGACGGAAACACTCGCAATTTCCTCAGGATTTGGATAATCGTTGGTGCAAATAGACCTACGTTCGGTGATGTGTTTGAGCAGAAGAAAACCCTGCAGGGGCGACCTGAGAACACATAATAAAATACCAAGTACTACATGTTGTTGCATCTTATATATGTGTTCTCATGTCACACCTGTTGGGTATCTCTACCAATATTAACATTTATGAAGAATTCGATCTGTATCTCAAAAAATCATTATAGAAATGATGGCAATATAGTTGAGGAGTTGTATGGGGGTATTTATTATAAAATGGTCAATTGTGTAGTACAAAATATTATGGTACTTCGTTGCTAACCAACAGTACAACATCTCGTACTCCTTGGGATCTATTTGTACTCCACGTCCCTTCAGCCTTGGTCTTACTGAAGGTTACATATTTATAATCCGTTTTTTAATTTATTATAATAATTAAAATATTTTATTTTTTACATTGCAAACTTTTAGCATCGTTTACTTTCTTCGATTTGAAATTGAATTTTATTTTAATCCAAGGAAAGTTTGAAATTCAAAAATGAAATCCCGAAGTATTAGTAAAATCCCACAAGCGTTGTATTTAGAAATTCCATAAAGGTAGTTGGTATTCATCAGATTTCATTGGATTTGTTTATGATGATATTTTAAGATATATTAAAAACATTATTTTTGGAGTCATTAAATAAAAAGTAATTAACTATCCTTATAATTATTTTAAACAAATTACAATTTTGGTCAGTTTGGTTGTTAATCTGTTTCACTCTTAGTTTTTCAGACTAACTTTTGTTAACAAAAAGAGTAAACTTAAATTTGGTCCCGTGGTTTGTTCGAAAATAACACTTTATATTTTTATAGTTTTGAAATTAAAAGATGGTCAACGTGGCTTGTAAAAGCGTATTTGGTTCTTTCTCTTATGGTTGTTAAAAAATTCCATTAAAAAATAAGAGGTATTTTCACCCTTTTGTCAATTCTTTTATCTTTTACACAATCAAAAACCACATAGACCAAATTGTACTTACTCTTTTTTACTTTTTTTTAGTATTTTTATTTTTTCTTATATTATGATACTTTAATGCTACATATACACACGCACACGCGGGCACACACACACATAGGTGGAGGTTCAAACGAAAACACCTCCATTTTACGAGAACGCAAGAACACCCTTATCACATATGATAATATACATGAGGGGACCCTGTGATGTGCGAACGACGTGTTTTATGACTTAGGCCTCGTCAAAGATTGTCTGCGTCTATGATTTAACATCATATGTGATGCTCTTAATGGATTATAGTATCATATCAACAACACCCTTATCACATGTGATAATACTTGTGAGACTTGGCCCGCAACCAAGATCGCATCAAAAATTGGCCGCGTCTCTGATTTAGTATGACATGTGGATCATATGTGATGGAATAATAGTATCACATGTGATTGTTTATAGTAAAAAGGTCGCGTTCTCATAAAATGAAGGTGTTCTCGTTTGAACCCTTCCCTATATACACACACACATACACATACACACACACAAACACAAACAAACACACACACACACACACACACACACACACACACACATATATATATATATATATATATACACACACACACATTAGTTGTGTGCCCGTGCAATGCGACGGGATGTAAAAGTTTCTTCAAAATTTATTTAATGTTGATATCTCAAGTACTTTCAAGATGTGTGTTGCCTGTATATCTATGTTAGATTTCCATCGAAAAGAGATGGTGGTGTTGATAAAAACGAATAGTTTATGTGAAATAATTATAAAGACAAACACATTTGTTATTGTAATCATTTTCAGGATTAATTTCTTCACTTGCAAAAGTATAAAAAAATGTTCAACAAATTCTCCAAAATAAAAAAAGTATGAAATTTTTGAAATTTCGATAACTCCACATAAATATAAAATTGTCATACACAATTAAACAAAAAACATTGGATCAAGATTATAGAAAAAACAAAATGCTCCAATAACAACGTTAATTATACATAGATTATTTTTACATGAATAATAATTTTTTAAAGAAAAAAACACTAAAATTGATGCAATAACAATACACAATTTTCTCATTGTGGTTGTAGCCGCAAACCCACAAGTTAAAAATCCTACCCTTGGTAAACAAATCGTGATAAAAACTGTTAAGAAATAACATTCAATAGAGTATGCAAAAGCAATAACTATTTTCACGAAAAAGATAATACCTTATGCATTTAAGGTTCTTTTTAAGACTTTCTTAAATCTGATTTATAAGGTAGTATAGACAATAAGTTTTTCAACCCGTCTTTTATTCATTATAATTGAAATATAATTAAATATTAATATAACAAAATTTCTAAGTTATGTCAAATTTTTATGACAAATGTAGACCATGTAACTTAATTAGTAATGAAATTAGACATGATAATGAATGTCAACCGAATAAGATGGCTTGAAGCAATATTATATCCCTAGGGAATATATATGAATATTCAAAATTTCATTATGATTTGTTTGCTAAAAAATATAAATATAAAATCAATACAATGAGTTACTTGTGACAAGTATAAGCAAACATTCACATCCATCCAAATTTGTATAACACGAAAATACGTACCATCATATCCGATCCAAAAGTTAAACCAAAAACATGTTCATTGCAGATCGATCATTGAAAGTTTGCTGATACGAGCTTATTGGCGCACACATATCGCTCTATCCAAAGAAAACACCTACTTGGCAAACCATAGTTGGGTGTTTTGCTTATTGCAGCTGCTCCAAATGGCTGATTTGATTAGATTGAAATTGTCTTAGGAGCTTCAAAGACTGGTGGTACAGATTAAGATCAATCCCATCTACATTTCTACCCACTCTCGCTTTCAGTATCCCATGAATATAAAACTTATAATTAAAATGTAGTGTGATAACCGGTCTTGGTTATCACCTGAGGTAATTGATACGTGATTATTTGTTATATGATTATGTGAAAGCATGATGAATTATTATATTTGATCATTTGAGTATGTGAATTTTGATGCATAAGTATGTATGCATAATGTGAATATATGCATGCATGTATGGTTAATTTAAGGAAGGCATGCATAAAGAAAATGTGTATATCTGAGTTAATATGTATGCATGAGATTTTATATATAATTGTATGCATGCATAAGGTGATGATTATGGGCATGCATGTAAGGGGCTCTTAGCCACCTTTCTTTTTATAGAAAGGGTATAAATATGGGGCTAAGGCTTCAAAAGAGAGTTTTTCTGGTTCTTTGGAAATTTTGAGAGAAAAGTTAGAGTGTTGTCCGAATTTCTTATTTGCCTGGAATTTGAAGTTGGATTCAAATTAGTTTGTAAAAGACTACAAAGGTGAGTGGTTTAAACCTTTGATTCATATGATTTTATTCACTATGATTTAAACTCTGTTTTGGTATCTTAAAATACATGTTAACCAGATTTGGCTATAATACTGGACACAGTGTTCTCCGAATTTGGGAATATCCGGTCATAGTGTTGACCGGATTGTGTGTTAGTGAGATTTTGAATTATGAATCCGGACATGGTTTTGACCTGATAAGTAGGTGTTGATCCTCTCTCACAGTGATTTGATGATAATCCCTTTTAATCTATCGATGTAATTTTGTTTCTGTATTTTCAGTTCCAGCGATCAGACACTGAGTATGTTCAGTGATCGCTGAGGAACTTGCTTTGTAAATCTCAGAGACAAACAATACTTCAAGAAGATAACAATCACACCAAAGAACCTTCAGCGAATGTCGAAGACTGAAACTGAABATTAGAGAYTGGCGAGTACGTGATCTGAAGCGGTATTCAGTGATTACGAACCTTTCTACATGTGTGAAGACTGCTCTAGCTTCAGCGAATGATGATGAGACCTTTAGGTCATTTCAGCATTCAGCGATCAAATGAAGTTTGCTTAGCACGATTATTGTTGTCTTTTCGTTTTGCACACAAAGGACAAACCCATACCCTTACTAAAGTTAGTACGGCACAGAGCCGATTAGTCGACTCTTTGTCCACCAACTTTAGGCAAGGATGTCTGCTCAAGAATAGTGCTTTTGTACTATTCACTATAGCAAAGGACAAGCCTTCCTCTTAAGGCTTGACACGCACTCTATACCCTACCTTATTGCATTAAATGTTCATTTAATGCACTGGGTATAAATAGAAGTGTTTTTCTTCTCCATGCATGAGAGCATGTACGCGCGCATCTCTCTGC